CCTTTGCCCCACTCCCTTTCCTCCCCTCCCAGCCTCTCTTCCTGCCCTTCTTAGCTCGCACTCCCCTTCCCTCCCTGCTGCCTGCCTTTTTTCTTTTTTCCTTTCTCTGCACTGGTGTCTAAAGGCGGCTTTTACACACGCACGCACGCTTACATAAAGGCGCGCGATTATGCAATTGCATTGTTATCGACGTTTCGAGAGCAGTGGCTCCTTTTCTAAGGGTTTCTACACTAGGGGTTTATGCAGTTTTCAAAAATTAGCGTTGAGAATAATACCTGGGAACGTAAAGTATTATTTTTACACAGTATTGTCTAGTAGAAGAAAGGGATTGCATCGATGGAGAATGGGAGAAGTGATGGCTACTACCATTTTAAGTGCAGTTTAAGGAACTTGAGTATAGAGCCTTAAATAACTGCAAGGAGTCGTGCAAACACAAAGCAAGTACTGTTATTTTTTGTCAGGAAGCATTTTTTTTTTCTTTAAAAAGGTTACCGTTTCGACTTAAGGGTTCCTTAGTTTTTCCAACTTTGAGGTAGAATATTAAATTTTCTGATTATTGTTGCATTTCTTGGTTATGATTATGTATAAAAGATTTGAATTAGATGCAGTAAATAAATTTTACATTTCAAATAATATACTAAAAAACTAATATGCAAAGTGCAGTGACTTTGATACATATTAACAAAACTATTAACTAGTTTTGAAAAAACATGTTTTGAGAGCCTTCACCAATTAGTTTGTCCCCAGTTGATTCTTCTAGAAAGAATATGAAGCTCTTTACTTTGGTCTAAGCCAAACTCCTCTCTTTTTGAATCACAAATCTTTGATACCTTCGGGCTTGGTGTGCCCTTATGGTGAAGCCGTTCTGCTTCATAAGACTATCAGTGTAAGGGGAAGGATAAGGAAGAGCTTGATACCACTCTAGCCATCAGAGCAGGGGTGAGCAGGGGTGAGAGAGAAGTTATTTTAAGTTGAAAATTTAAGTTGAAAAGTTGTGCTACATTTCTTTCTTTGTCATCGGGATGGCAAATATATATATCATCTTTTTTAATAGGAGGAAAGAATGGAAATGATTTCCGAAAGATCAAAAGAGTGTGTGTACTCCTGGAACAAAACTGCAGAGAAAAGTGATTTTGAAGCTGTGGAAGCACTTATGTCCATGAGCTGCAGTTGGAAGTCAGATTTTAAGAAATACATTGAAAACAGACCTGTTACTCCGGTGTCGGATATGTCGGAGGAAGAGAATCTGCTTCCTGGTACCCCTGATTTTCATTCGATCCCAGCATTTGTAAGTATATTTGTTTTTAAGGTGAATATAGATGATTTTTAAAAATTTACTTACATAGCGAACTCCAGTTTTCTCATGCTGTTCCCTACATATTTCTCTTTGTAGTGTCTGACTCCACCATACAGTCCTTCTGATTTTGAACCCTCCCAAATGTCAAATCTGATGGCACCAGCGCCATCTACTGGACACTTCAAATCTTTCTCCGATTCTGCCAAACCTCACATTGCTGCACCTTTAAAAGAGGAAGATAAGAACTCAGTACCTGCCCCCAAGCTCCCCAAGGCTCAGGCAACAAGTGTGATTCGTCATACTGCTGATGCTCAGCTGTGTAACCACCGATCCTGTCCGGTGAAAGCAGCCAGCATCCTCAACTATCAGGACAATTCTTTTAGAAGAAGAACCCACCTAAATGTTGAGGCTCCAAGGAAAAACGTACCTTGTGCAGCTGTGTCACCAAACAGATCCAAATGTGAGAGAAGCACAGTAGCAGATGTTGATGAGAAAGCAAGTGCTGCCCTTTATGATTTTTCTGGAACTTCTTCAGAGACAGTCATCTGTAGATCTCAGCCAGCCCCTCTGTCCCCACAACAAAAATCTGTGTTGGTCTCTCCACCTGCAGTATCAACAGGGGGAGTGCCACCTATGCCAGTCATCTGCCAGATGGTTCCCCTCCCTGCAAACAACCCTGTTGTGACAACAGTTGTTCCCAGCACTCCACCCAGTCAACCTCCAGCTGTCTGCCCGCCTGTTGTGTTCATGGGCACTCAGGTGCCCAAAGGTGCTGTCATGTTTGTTGTACCCCAGCCTGTTGTTCAGAACCCAAAACCCCCAGTAGTGAGCCCAAATGGCACCAGACTCTCTCCCATTGCCCCTGCCCCTGGGTTTTCCCCTTCAGCAGCAAAAGTCACTCCTCAGATTGACTCTTCAAGGATAAGAAGTCACATCTGTAGCCACCCAGGATGTGGCAAGACATACTTTAAAAGTTCTCATCTGAAGGCCCACATGAGAACACATACAGGTACCAATCTTTCCTTTGTTTTAGAAACGTGAAGTTGTTTTTGGTAGTGATGCCAGTATAAACCTGGCATGTTAAGGAAGAACTTGCTCTTTATTTAGCCAATTAAGTGGAAGATGATTTTCAACAAGGCTCTTTAAAAGGTTTCATCCACATGTTTTTGCCTTAATTTCTCAGACAAAGATTCTGTAAATGTCTGAGTAGTTACTTGTTTAAAGTCATCTTCAGAGCCCAAATTTGTATCATAATTGAGGTCAGAAAGTCTTATATTTGGCTTCTTTTATGAGTTAGACTTTTATAAATGTGACAGAAAGCTGGAAATGGGCTGATATTTGTCGGTCATTTGACAGTCTTGAAACTTAAACATGTTCCTCTTCTGAGATACAGTTGGACTTGGTAAATTAAAAGTTGGGTTAGTAAATGCATGGTAATGATGATCTGAATTTCTTTGCTCTAGGTGAAAAGCCTTTTAGCTGTAGCTGGAAAGGCTGTGAAAGGAGGTTTGCCCGCTCCGATGAACTCTCCAGACATCGAAGAACCCACACGGGTGAGAAGAAGTTTGCCTGCCCCATGTGTGACCGGCGCTTCATGAGGAGTGACCATTTGACCAAGCATGCCCGGCGCCATCTGTCAGCCAAGAAACTGCCAAACTGGCAAATGGAAGTGAGCAAGCTAAACGACATTGCCCTACCTCCAACCCCGGCTCCCGCACAGTGACAGATAAGAAGGTGAAGAATCGGAACTAACTTTGGTCGCAGCCAAGAGCCAGTGGTTGATATAAAAATTGTTGCCACTGCAGGTCTGTGGCTCTCCAGTGCGGGCTGAAGCAGAAGCCCCCCAGCCTGGGGAGCAGGCCCGGCCTGGGTTATAGGGCAACAAGTGCTGCAGTCACAGGCAGGTCACAGAGTGGCAGGATTCGTTTCTTAGCACATAAGAGAGATGAGAGCTTTTCTTCCTTTAAATATGTTTTGAAGGTTTCAGATTAGGTCAACACAGGTAGCACAGATCTTGAATTTTTGTGCACAATTTGTTACTTTCACCTTTATGCTTGAGACCAGCGTTCCGCGTGACTCTTCTAAAGCGTTGGTTTCAGGAGTATGGAGACTGGAAAGAAGCATTACGGTACAGAGATGGAGGTGTAAAATCGGTTTGCATCACGATTATTGTCATCTTTTGCTAGAGTTATCTTGTTTACTATTCCTAGTCTTTCCAGTCAGCTTCATGGATATAGATGTTAAAGTATAGTTAGAACTAGCATTTTTACACTATTTCTGACGTTTGGAATTGAGCAGCTGTATATTGCTAAAGAGGATTCAAAAGAATTGGATTCCTCATAACTTAATTGCTTTGAAATTGTAGCTACATTTTTTTTTGCATTTTTGTTCTGAAAGTTTAACATGATCTTAAGTAGGCATTTTATCATGCTTTGAACCTTAGTTTGCCTGCAGTTTTCTTCTGTAGATTTAAATTTTGTATACAAATGTGTTTTCTATAGACTCTAAGATACACTGCACTTTGTTTAGGAAAAAATTCAAAGATGAAAATATATATTGTAAAGAAGGGATATCAAGAATTTAGGTAACTTCCTTGAAAAAGATGGCTACGTCATCAATAAAGTACCCTTACATTATGAGAATATAATGTGTGCTTTATTGAACTAGGAAGTTAGTGACCATTATTCACAAATGGACAAATACCCTGTTAATTTAAAGGAGTTTTGTGGAATTAGGTGGGTAGAAAATAATTAGAACATTCACTTTTGTTAACAGTATTTGTTAATGCTCTGTTGTATAGTGAATGATTATACACACAGTAGTAAAACAAAAACAAATTGTTTGAAATATATAGTGAAAAATGTCACTATCTTTTCATTTAATATTTCTCTCTGTATTGGATGTAGATTTCTGACATCGAAACTTGGACCCTGGGAAAACAAAAAAGAATTTGCTTTTAATTAAAAAAAATCCTTGTGATTTACAATTTGCACAATATTTCTTTTGTTGTACTTTATATCTTGTTTACAATAAAGAATTTCTTTTGATACATAGCTGGTTGTTTGCATTTATTGAAAGCCATTCTCACTAACCTTCACATTGCTCACATTAACTTTGTTGATTACTCCTGGTTCTGTCCAAGGGCTGCCTACCAGAGTTCTCTAGGGCCTCAGTCAAGTTTTGAAGTGTAGGAGCATATCTGATGTGAATAATGCTCAGTAAACAAAGTGAGGCCACGTATCTTAGTTCGAGCAGTCTGGCCATTCTAAGAAACCAGTTAAATTTAGTTCTTAAAATTCTTGTATATGGGTTAAAATATAGATCTGGCTCTCAGCAAAACCTTGTTAAGGAGCATTAAGTTAAAGGACCACCACAGTGAATAATTACAGGCGTGAGACAGCTTTGGCAAATGAAAATAAGCCTGACCTATTAGAAAGTAAAATTACCTCGAAGTTAAATTACCTCCTATCATTAAGTGGTACCGTAAATGCAATAAACATTGGTACTTAAGCTGCATGAAAGGTAATCTAGCTCTGAAATGTTAGCTAGTCACTCATCCGTAGAAAGAACTAGGAGCTGTAAATGCTACTTGGTGTACTGAGTATACTTTTAGAGATAGCGTTTTAGTTTGCTCTGAAATCCCCTTGCAATCATGCGCAAACATCTCCCACAGTTCCCAACTTAACCACTAGCCTAGAGTCGGGCTCAATGAGCACATGTGCTGAGGGGTGATGTGCTTACTTGGTCTCAGTTGTAGGATAGATATTTCAAGTCACCTGCACCTGTTGATGCTTTTTTGAAACTTGACTACGTAGATAACAGAGATGCTGGAGAGAATCCTTGACATTCAGCTTCTGGGCTGGGACTAGCCTAACTCGCTGAAAGAGATTCTCTTGGTGGTAGAATCTTCAGAAGTGGTAATAGAGGAAGAAGGCTGAGTATTCCTGCTGTTTCAATGCTCAGGCCCTTGGAATGACATGGAAATAAGTCGCTGTTGCTGGGTTCCTAGTCTTAAGTGCCAGATACTTTCCCTTAGCACTATTGTAAATCATGTCTGAATGGCATTGTCCCTTCATCCAAGATTTTGCTTTCTGTGTTTTCGATTAAGTGGAAAGTGCCATAAATAATTCCTGAGATTTAAGTTGCACAGCACAGAGTAGCGTCATGAAATCTCGCATGCTTGCGCTCCGCCCCGCCCAGGATGTGATCATCCCTTTAACTAGCCTGTCCGCATTGTGCCTTTCTAGCCATCTCAGTTATCAGATGCTATCTCGAGTATAGCGGTGCTTGTGTTCAAGTAACCCTTATTTTACTGAATAATGGCTCCAAAGTGCAGGAATAGTGAATAGTGGCAATTAGTATATGCCAAGGAGTAGCCATAAAGTGCTTCCTTTAAGGGAAAAGCTGAATATTCTCAACTTTGGAAGGAAAGGATGGGAAATGTATGCAGAGGCAGCTAAGATCTGTGCTAAGAGAGCCTCTATGTGTGAATTGTGAAGAAGGAAGAAAAGTGCTCATTTTGCTGCGGCACCTCAAACTGGACCTCAAACTGGAAGTTACCTCCACAGTGCAGTACTGTAGCATCTCAGGTCACAGGAAGAAAGGTGAGTACAGAACAGGAAGACACTTAGAGAGCGTGCTTTCATGTAACTCATCAATGTGTGTTACAGTTGTTCTTTTTCATTAGTTGTTAATCTCTGCTTAATTTTAAATTAAAGTTTTATAGATATAAGTATAACTGTATATATGTGTATACACACACACACACTCATATATATACCTTTGAAACTATGCAATTTCAGACATCAGGACATCTTGGAATCTATTTGCCTTCTGTGTTACACTGGAGCTGAATGTTGATGCAGGCTCTGGTCTTGAGAGAAAAGTTGCCCCAAAGTATATTTATAGCGTATTACAATAATGTATTACTGTAACCACAGCACTTCAATTGTGATTGTTCTTGTCTGACATATATTAAATTGTACTACATGAAATTGCTGATATTCAGCTGCTTTCATAGTTAATTATTTTACATTTATAGAAAACAGCAAAATAGAGTTCCCATATCTCCTTCATTCAGTTTCCACTTCTGATAATACGTTACATAGCCATAGAACATGTATCAAAACAAAAGTCAGTCTTGTAGCACTATTAACTAAAGTACAGAATGTATTTGGGTGTCACTAGGCTTTCTACTAATGTCTCTTTCCCCGGATGGTAGGACTAGTCTAGAGTCTCAACTTGTACCTCATTGTCAGTTTCCATAGTCTCCTTCAGCTGATGGTCTCCTGTTGTCCTTAGAACAGTGCTTGTAGGTTTTTTTTTTTTTTTTTTAGGATGGCCCTTAATCTGCATTTGTCTGGTGCTTTTTTCATGATTAATTTGAAGTTATGTATTACTTGGGAAGAGACCAGAACGATAATAATAGTCAAGGATTATATGATACTATTCTCTGCTACTGTGATGTTAACCATTATCACTTGGCTAGGGCAATGCCTACTGAAATTTTCCACTGTAAACTTTTACAATTATTAAGTATTTGGAGGGAGCTACTTTAAACGATGCAAATAACCTGTTTCTGTTTAACCTTTTTCTTACTAATTTTTCTATTCATTATTAACTGGAACTCTGTAAAAAAGGGTGGTTGCTTCTCCCTCATTTATTAACTTACTCAGTTCTTTGTGTTGGTATGAACTTAGGGATTTTTATGTCGTGCTTTGAGTTTTAAGACAATAATTACTTGTGACTCAATTGTTCCAAGCTGGCCCTCTTTAACTCTTTAAATATTCAATCATTTTTGATCGACAAAGGTGGAAATTTTATATGGTTCAAACTTCATTTTTTTACTGGAGTGAGACATATTTGGTATAAATAATTTGACTTTTGAAAGTTTTTCTCTGAGTGCATTACCATCCCCCACTCCTGCTTCTCATACTTAAACAACTGCTGCTACTTCAGTAGAAGCTTTTGAAAATGCAAATCTGACCATGAATAGCTTCTGCCTTTCGTGACCACCTCAGTTATCAGACTGTCAGCCTGTGTTCAAGTAACCCTTATTGTACTTAATAAAATAAATTAATGAAGTAATTTACTTAAGTCTGTTTAAGATATTTCAAAAACTTCCCAAAACCCTCAGAATAAAGTCTAGATTTTTCTCATGTTCTGGAATAATGCTGTCTAGTAGAAATACAATTATGAGTCACACATGTCATTTTCTAGTATTTGCATCAAAAATCTAAAAAAGCCTAATTTTGATACTTTACATTAACCATATCATAAATTAACCATATCGTAAATTAACCCAATACATCCAAAATACAACATAAAAATTTAACGCAAATAAATCACACAGTTTTTGTGCTATTCTTCAAAACCCAGTCCTGTCCATATGCTTACAGCACATCTCAGCTGGGACCAGCCACATTCCTAGTGCTCAACAGCCGCATGCTGTGTGGCAAGCAGCTACTTTAATGTACTCTCCTCATCTAGAAGGCCCTGTTCCATTAGGTTTCTACCAGCTTCCCACACTACATTCCTCCTTTACATGGTGTCCAAGCTCTGAGTCTTCATATATGCTACTTTTTTTCTGGGAGATTTTCCCTGCCCTTACTCTTGACATTTCCACTTTCCTCGTCACCACTGCCCCTTATTAAAATTGCTTACGTCTCTTTTTCCCTGTGACTCTAAACCAGCAGGAGGGCAAGGGCCTGTGGGTCTTGGTAACTGCTCTTATCAGCATCTAGACAGTGCCTAACACACAGCAAGGGATCACTCCAAGGTTTGCCACCCTGCAACTTGAACAAAGAGGAGGTCTGTGTGGAAAGGCAAATAATTAGGAAGTTGTTACCTGATACACAGGGTTCACACAAAGGTGGTGGAAAGCTGAAGGCTGACTTTTCCTTGTTCCCCTCCATCTCTGTTAGGACTGGCAGGACTGTTTACTATGCCTTCCAATCTCTGCAAGAGCCTCATGGTTTTTAGATTCTCTTGACTGCCTTTTTAACAGGGTAGGGAAGAAATCTGATTAAGATAGACCAAGGCCATCCTTGTCTAATTTCTTAGCTTGGAGTGGCTGAGAAAACTTGTTCTCCTGGCTTTCACCCCACCCTTTCTCTTTGGAGACAATCAGAATGAGGTTGGGACATAAACGGGGGCTTTCATCAAGGGCACTGGGCAGTTGGAAAAGCCTCAAAATGAAGAGAAATATTTCAGGAGAGAAGTATGTAAGGGAAGCGTTTTTTCTAGAGATGTCTCACTGGTTTTGTTCTGGCGTTGTCATCCAGACTTGACATTTTTCTGACCAATTTAAGACCAGCTTGAGAAATGACTCAGAGTTAGTTAGAGAAATATAACTGTCTCTAACTGCCTACATGGGTAACTGTGCCCTGGAGAAGATGTCAGGGAGAGAACACTGGTAAAAAGACCTGGAATATTAGCGTTCTCCAGAGAAGAACCAGGAGATCATGTATATTTAGTGAGGCATTGGTTCATGTAATTAAGGAGGCTGATAAATCCTAAGATCCTCAGTGGGCAAACTGGAAAGTTAAAAGAGTTAACTACTGTCCAAACACAGGCTCGAGACTCTCAGGAAGAGCTAATATTTCAGTTTTGGTCTGAAGACGAGGAAGAACTGTCATCCCAGCTTGGAAGCAATCAAGTAGCATGAGTTTCCCCCTTAACAGGTTTTGTGGTCTACTCAGGCCTTCACAGGGTCAGATGGGGCCCACCCTCATTAGGGAGGGCAATCTGCTTTACTCAGTTCACCGATTCAGATGTTAATCTAATTCAGAAACATCCTCACAGACACACCCAAAATATGGCCCAGTCAGGTTGACACATCAAATTGACTGTAATCCCTGGACTCTAGTCCTGGCTGCCATGATGACTTGTTTATTCCTTGGGATGTTAGGGTCCAAGAACTCGATTACTGTGAATGACAGAGCGTCACGCAAGAATGCAATTTGCAAAGTAGAGTTTATTGGGCTGGCTAGCCAGGGTCAAGCCGTTCCCTGCCAGACACACAGGTTCAGGCAAGACCCCGACCAAAGGAAA